AGAATACTGCAATATCATAACKTTTTTGTGCTTAAAGAGGGGAACAGAACAATTGTTTAAAAAGTGATGTCAGGATAGTCTTGAGTGGTGCTAAAATTACACATTTCACCCGGTAGTCGGGGGCACATTCACGTTAAAATCCCCGCTACTCTGGCCCATCTATTTTGGTCTATAGCCTTTAATAACAAAACAAAAACCTTTCAATTCAACTCAATTTTTTTCTGTTATACACGGGAGTTAATTTTTGTATAATCCTGGACACGGTACCCATTTGCGTACTACATGAGGCTTACAGCGGTCGGAATACAACAATACAATACAATACAATGAATGCAATGCAATGTAATGCAATGTAATGCAATGTAATGCAAAATCCTGACCCTCCGGGATAATCTTGCTCTATAAAAGCACGTTAAAAACGCGTCACGTCCCCGTTCAGTGCCCCGCTAGAGCCTCGGTGGTCGTGGGTTGGGGGTTTCAATTGACTAGTGCATTAACTCTTATACTAAATCAAGCAGTGACTATTGGATCATACGCTTAATTCTGTAAACAGTAGGCATAAGTAGCAAAAAAGTCTAATAATAGTTAAAACTTCCTTTTTATATACAGTCAGCTGCTATCACTAAATTTCTAATTTTTCATTTACAGTCAGATCTATAAAGTATTTCTGGTATTGTCTAGTACTGATATTAATTGATATTCCTTTAGCTGTCGCTAAATTTCTAATTGTTCATTTACAGTCAGATCTATTAAGTATTTCTGGTATTGTCTAGTACTGATATTAATTGTCTAAAATATTCCTCGATTGCTTGAGAAAAGTAAAGAAGAACAAAATGGTTGTTAAGGTTTGCGGGTACCCTGGAAAGGTTTTCCTGCTTCTTCCTCGCGATTTCACGGTATGAGAAAGTGATATGAGAACGATTTTTCTAGACGTTTTTTCTTCAGCTGTCGGTTATATAAAACTTGTTTATACTTAGTTCGTTGGCAGGATCCGTAGCCAGCGGTAAAAATAGAGGACTTCCAGAAAAATTAGAACACTGGGTACGAATGATGACAAAATAGACAAATTTGACAAGCACCAATCAATTTTGAGGGAAATTTAGGGGCTTCTGCTGAAGAAAATGTACACTTGTAAAGCAATGGGGCATGTCAGTCAGATACCACTGAATATTACAGATCATATGAATGGCTTTGAAGACTCTACTTATAAAAAAAAGAACAAGAAAAATTAAAAGAAAGAATAAAAAAAGATCGTACCTTATGCGGGGTACCATTAGCTGGGCATTTGACAGGCATTTTGGTGAAAACAGGTGACAGTGTTTTTTTAATAAGGTTTTTTAAGAAAGCATATTGAACATTCATTTTCATGATCCCGCCATTCAATTTGACTGATGCCAAACTGAGAAAATTAATTATAGCTTGTAACTTTTTCTAAGAAGTTAGTTACGGCTTTTTTGGTCATTTAAAATCAGAACTTTATGCTACAATCATGGACAAGACAAAATAGTTTGGACATCATCAGGGAAATGGTGGTTTTATCGTGATGCAACTACTTCAGTATCCTCTCAAAAAAGCATGTTACTCTGTAATTATTCATCTGAATCCTCTCAAAATCTGCAGCTATACGAATGATTCTGAGTAAGCTCTATCTTATCAGGGAATTCGTTTTGTAATTTGACACTTCATATATTGAGCTTTTCACTAGGAACCAGTTCCTTTTTGAATTTCGGATTATGGCCAT